ATTTATATAGGACCTTTCAAAACAGCCGTTACAAAGTGCTTTGCAAATAAAAACTTAAAGTAGGCAACAAGCATTGACAGAATCGTTAATGCTCAATCTTAAAGGTTCAGTGTGTAAGATTCAGGTGGAAGGATATTGAATATAAAATAATCCTAGTGAAGTTCTCACTAGTGTATTTCATCTAAATTTAATTTTTTGTGTTTCCTTTACCTTACAATGGGCCCTTTATATTTAAATACTTCATATTTACATCAGGAGCGGGTCCTCTCTACGGAGGCTGCCATGTTTTTTTTTTTACAGTAGCCCAGACTGGACAAACTAAACACCTTTTGACTTTTTAGGAAAACTTCATTTTGTAAAGGGGAGGGTGAGGTGAGGGGTATTCAGGTGCAACTTCACGTCACTAAATTCTACACACTGAACCTTTAAATGTAACTATTTTGCAAATGAGGCCCTTGGTGTGGGGCCCTACATGTTCAGGTTATTTACCATATTGTGTGATAGTAGTTTATACAAACATGTTCCTTGGATTGGTGAGGAGGAGGAAGAGAGCCAGGTCCGCTTAACGACAGGGATTTGTTGAGAAGGGAGATATAAGCCGTGTCTCCCCTCTCTCATCATTGGGCAACGTGAGATCACAGGGGAACAAGATGGACGAGCTAACAGCGCTAGCCCAGAGCCGAAGGGAGTACCGGAAGTGTCCCTGTGCTGTGGAACACATCCTGCCTCATCCAAGATGCCGCATCCCAGTGACTCCAAGGACTACAGACCGGTGGCACTGACGTCCCACATCATGAACACCCTGGAGAGACTCGCCCTGGAGAAGCTCAGGCCCGTGGTCAGGACACACTTGGATCCCCTCCAGTTCGCCTACCAGCCCCAGCTAGGAGTCAAGGACGCCATCATCTACCTGCTGTCTACGCCCACCTGGACAAGCCGGCTAGCACTGTGAGAGTCATGTTTTTTTTTTACTTCTCCAGCGATGCAGATGGATGCACCTGTCGTGGCCTGGATCGTGAACTACCAATCAGAGTGGTCAGTGCCACCGGGGGCCCCACAGGGGACTGTCCTCGCTCCCTTCCTCTTCACCCTCTACACCACAGACCTCAGCTACCAGACAGAGTCTTGCCATCTCCAGAAGTTTTCTGATGACTGTGACGTTGTAGGGGTGGAGCTGGACTCTCTGACGGCGGTGTCAGACAGGAGGATGCTGTACAAGTTACACGCCATCCCGGACAATGTCTCCCGCCCTCTCCAGGACATGCTGGTCAAACACAGGAGCACGAGACTGAGATCACAAAAATGCACCACAGAGCGCCGCAGGAAGTCAATCCTGCCTGTGCGTACTGTACATTGAATATTTTGTGCAGATGGATATGTATTGCTGTGTAGCTGAATGGCCATTCAATGTACAGTACGCACAATATTGTATATATTATATACATATATTTTATTTTTAATCTTATATGCTATTTTCTACCTTTTACTTGGAGCAATTGTAACAAACACAATTTCCCCCTGGGATCAATAAAAGTATTTCTGATTCTGATTCCAAATGTTTTCTGCCCCAAGTTACACGAACCAGACATGATTGAATCCATCCCTATCGATTGCATTGATCAAGTTACACATGCTCACTGATGAAGACACTGTTCATCCATTCATTGATCAGATAAGTAGGAGTATAGGAGCAGATAGGATATCACTGTACAGTGAAGCAGAGGGAAACTACAGCAGTCTGTTAATACATTACCGTTTGTTAAACCACTGCAGTTCAGTTTTAATGATTAATAAATCACAAAGTTTGTCCTTTTTATTTGAGGGAAACAGCAACTTCTCTGTCAGAAAAGTTGGTTAAAAAACGATAATTTATTTTCTTCGGCGCTAAACCTGAGAAATCAACGACTGGTTTTCAGAATTGGTAACGTAAGCCTCGTGTCAGATGATCGGTGACGAACCCCGGTGTCTGCATGTCAAGTTTGCTCACCATGAACAAGGGTGAGGAGAAATATCTGTGTCACTTCTAAATGATTTAAAATAAAATTATATTTAATAAGAGCAAATTACGAGTGCCATAATGAGAAAGTCACCAACTTTTCTCAAATATTCCACGGGACAATCCTCCGAAACTTGACATACAGACAGTGGGCGTCGCCATGAACAAGAGCCGCTATAATGAGCAACTACTTCCTCGTGAGTGGCCATTGTGCAGAGTTTATTCAGAACAAATACTCAGGCTGAACCACTCAACAACACAAATACACAGTGAGCAAACAGAACGTGCTTTCATAACCGAGCAGTTTATCTACTGATCTGCAGTCGCTGACCCATATACTACATGTAACACACACACACACACACACACACACACACACACACACACTCGCACACAGGGTCAGAGTGTTGGTATAGAAACAGTCCAGGCTCACAGGAGGACAGTAGCAGGGAATGAGCTGAACTCTGCATAGATGATAACAGTCTGTGTGCAGTGATAAGACACCAGCAGTACGTGCCTTATCTTTAACTTTTCGACTTCTCTCGCTCACACACACACACACACACACACACACACACACACACACACACGTATATGTTATGCCACTCACATTATAGATACACACACAATAATCCCCAGTGCAGTGAAAAGCTTTGATGTGTTGGTTCCGGGCCCGTCTACAGGTGAAACTCCACATGTGAAATCGGTATCGGCAGCGAACTTTGACCTCAGACACTGAATGCAGCTGTTTTCAGACAATACAACATGACATCAGTTCCCACCCTGCTGGCCGGGACCTAACACTACAGCTACTCCTGCCATTCTGCTGTGTCACGTTGAAGCCGTCATTTCGCAGCGTATAACCACTGCTTACGGCATTTTGGTTTTAGGTTTCCAAAGAATGACTCACAATTACATCATCGTCATCGTCGTGAGGTAATAGTTTGTGACTCTTTTCACAGAAATTTCTGCCGTAGAACAATGAAATGACCATTTATCCATGTCATACACAAATTATATGAAATGTGGAGGATATGACACCATCCTTCGACGTCACATGACGATGTCACGGTAGCGAGGTGAATGAATGAGGTGTGATAAGAGCTACTAAAATAAGTATAGTTTAACCCATGTCCCATCAGGGAAATCAATATTTTATGGCTTCACCTTTGGAGAGCGTTCATGTCGTCCATCTTTAAATACATGCTATGATGAGAGCACACGAGTAAAGTGGACAAAATCTTTTTAAAAACTTCCACACATCTCTTAACTCTTCTCTCTTTGTCTTTGATTGACAGACACGGAACCTGGCCACATCCCGGGCTCTATCTGCGTGCCCTTCAACTCCTTCCTGTCCTCGTCGGGCCACTTCCTGCCCAAGGAGCAACTCCAGACTGTGTTTACCCGCGCAGGAGTTGACCTCAGTCGCCCTCTCTGCATCTTATGCGGCTCAGGTGTGACTGCATGTCATGTGGCGTTTGCGGCCCACGCGTGTGGGAACGCGGAGGTGTCGGTGTACGACGGCGGGTGGTCGGAGTGGTACACCCGCGCTGTTCCCGAGCACGTCATATCTGAAGGACGAGGGAAGCATTTGTGATCGGCTGAGGAGCACAGGCTGTGTGTTTGTGTGGTTGGACACTGGACCAGACTGGGACTGACCTGCAGGAGAAGAAGGAGGACGTTCTTAGATTGCTGTTGGGGAAATCGTTTAAAGGAATAGTTTTACATTATGGGAAATACTAGGTTAAATGAAAATATTGATACCTCTCTCAAGCCTGTGTTCTAAATACTGTATGAAGCTACAACCAGTAGCTTGTTAGTTTAGCTTAGCACAAAGACAGTTAGCCTCGGTCTGTCCAAAGATGCTGAATTCCACCCACCTACACGTCCGAGGGCGATTTCACACCTGCCTTGTTTGGTCCGGACCTTTATGTCTCGGACCACTGGACCCAAATTCAGTCCGACCAAAAGAGGTGGTCTCAGTCCAGATCAAAGTGACTCTTTGGATTAACAATAGAACAAACACACGAAGCTTTGCTCAGACTTTCAAGTGTATAAAAAAAGAAAGGTGGTATTTTCTCGTCCGTTTACTCACAGATATTTAAATAGTTTGACATTTAGCTCACAGATGACTGAAGTGTTGGTATCAACAGTCTCTGCTTGAATTCCCAAAATGTGAAACTATTTCTTCAACAAAACAATAAAGTATTGAAAAGCAGATGATCACAAATAGAACATTTCCCCCCAAACACGCAGCAGATGATTCAGCTGAACAGTCATTTGTGAACACTGAACCTTTTTAGTTTTGAAAAGATTTGTTTACAGCTTCAATGCTTGTGTCTAGTTCTTTGAAATCACAAGTCGATATAAATATATATATATGTTGAGACTCAAGGTTTGATTCCTCTGACACTTTAGGTCATTGATCACATCTCAGATACAGATTTGATTGTCAACAATTATAAGACACTATTTTCCAATATTGTGTTTTCTTTGGGAATTTTGGGGGATTTTGTTTTTTTTTAATATGACTGGTATTGTAATGTGATTATGATTCTCTTTGGTTGCCTTGACAATTGAAAAGATGTTAAATATATGTTTTCCAGATTCTGAACTGAATCATTTTCTCATGAAACCTGGTTACACCCACGTGAGAGGGAAAATGAGAATCATAGCTAATATAAACAAAGCAATGCACGTTGCTTTGACCAGTTAGAATCAGAAGCTGCTTGGAAATTCAGGAAGTGACAAAACAAATCAGCCTTCCTCTTTTTGCATTTAATAAAGACACAGTCACTGAGCAAAGGCAATTTTCACCGAAACACTTCCCTCAAGAGGACGCCACCTGATTCTTTATCTCGGCCCTTCCAGCCAGAGGGAGCAGCAGTCTTATCCTGGTCATGACTGGTGAGTGTGTCAAGCCGCCAAAGAAATAATTTCTCTTATCTCGCTGAGAACATGAGGTCCAGAGGCAGAGTAATTTCCTCATCAAAACAGTCGTAAATTATTAGCTTCTTAAATCATCTGTAAGAAAATAAAATTGAGAATCTGATTTGTAATTACAAATGTGATTACATTACATTACCATGTTAATAAACGTCTGATTCTCAATAGAACACTGTTCATGATGAATTCAAGCAGTATCCACATGAGGGCATTAAAGCACCAGAAAACTGCATCCACAAGCATTCTGTTGAATTTGAGCTTGTTGAGAAGTGTTTGTGAATTTTGAATCAGGATGTAAAGAAATACTTGAAAACATTCACTTGAGATGATTTAGATTTTCTTTGCGGTAATTTTACGGTCAGGTTGTAGTCTTTTAACGTCAGCCTATGATGTAGATGTATATCTCCGCCTTACATTACGTCTCTCAGCCGGAAGAATCCTACAACGCTTAAAGCCGCATTTAAATCCAGTTTATCAAGAATAATTTATAAACAATAATTTGATTTGTATAAAAAATTGGATCCAAATCCGCTCCAACATAGAATGGGTTCTTCCTTGGATCAGGCCCCAGCCCTGCTCAAAATTTCATGGAAATGAGTTCAGGAGTTTTTTTGCGTGATCCTGCCAACTAACAGACAAAATCATAACTCCTATATGAACAGGTTGACAGTTCGGTGGGGTTTTCTTTGAGGGGGTTTTCTTGGGAATTTAAGATCTAATTTGGGAGAGCACACACTTCTGTTACTTCCCAGAACATGTGATTGTGACACGTTGACATCTTGGAGAGGCAACGGTTAACTGTGTTAGTATTTCTATTAGCTGTGACTTGAGTGATGAACGTAAAGAAACATGACAATAAAGGAGAACAGAAAGTATCACAGCCAAAACGGAGTTTCCATGCTTTTGTTTCATATCTATTGAAAGGTGGATAACATGTCACCTAGATAGTATTTTCACACCATCTTCAGAGAAACCACACAAACCACGCTTTTTTTAAAAGTTTTCCTGTAAGTCATCTTAAATCATCTCAGATCTTCAGAGAAGAAACTAACTTTTTCAGTACAACCTGAGTCCATCGACGTGGAAACCACTTCTAGATCACTGTGTGTGTAAGTGTGACAGAACTGAAATGAATAAATGAATGAGTCTGTGGCAGGAAGTGATGCTTTGGCAGAAGTGATCATTACATTTTACCGAATGATAGAATCAAGTGTGGTTGGTTCATGTGATGAGGACAGATTAGATTAGACGTAGTAGTTCGTCCGTGTTTCCTAGAAATCAGTATATCTGTTTAATATATTTCGGCAGGAGGAATCCATGTTTATATCACTGCACCCTCAGCAGTCGGTGTGACATTAGACTTCTAAATGCTAAATGAGACATACGTAGACCGTATCCCAGATACGAGCGCTGCCATGTTGTGTATGTGAAGCCGGAGTCCGTGTAGTAGTGATTGGGGGACGAAGCTGTGGTATCGAGGTCCTGTTGATACACGCGTTTGACCGATCGTGGCTCAGTCTCAGGAGAGGATCGTGACATCTCACCCTCGTTTTGATAGCAGGAAAAAACGAAAACAAAACCAAAGATGAACAAACATCAGTGCCATACCGAAAATAATAAATCTATTTCACTTTTTAGTTTGGTCCATGTCTCGACAACAACATGGAGGAGGTGGGACTTAGTGCATACTGCAGCCAACCACCAGGGGGCTGTCATGTCGTCTATCTTTTACATATACGGTCCATTAGAGGCTGTGACTTAAGAAACCTTTGCACCAGTATCATCAAGAACAGGAAGCAGGGGGAAAACACTGTAGACGATGGAGAGTTGTTTTTTTTTTTTTCTAGAAACAATCGGTAGCGTTCTGGGAATAGAGAGGGTTAGGAAGTGGTTTCTGTGTGTGAGTGCTTTTTGTGCGTGTAGTTTGTGTGGTTTCATTTCTATTTGCTTGTATCTGTGAAATGGAGAGAAGAGAGAGAGAAAGAGATGGAAGAGAGAGATAGAGATATATTGTGTTTTTCAGAGGATCTATTTAGTTCAGTCTTTTTAAAAAAAAAAACGAGAACTTAAACTGATGATCTTCCTGATAACTGACACCCACAAATGGAAATGTTTACTTCAGGTATATGTCATATCCTCAGTGATTAGATTAATTAATCTATAGCCTGGTTCATGTTGTTTTAAGAACAGGAAGTGGATTTATCAGAAACATTTGGGTTCTCAGAAAAAAACGTTGACCTTCATCCCTCGTTAAACCACAATAAGGGACCGCAGTAAAAACTTGTTGCTTCCCCTGTGCATGACAAGTAATTAAAATACATCTTTATTCATAAGTCACTGCTCTGAAATGTGAACATACTTCATGTTCAAAGACGGATAGACGTCTTGATTATTGATTTCATAGGAGTGACCTACCTACACCTACCTTTTCTTTCAATGTGTGTCACATCCTCCTCGAGGAGAAAAAAAACTTCTGTCTGACGTTGTCTTACAGTCACATGGAATGGAACCAGCACTTTGAAGCAGCCCCTGAACATGTTCATCAACAGGTAAGACAGTAAAGTCTTTCAGTATAAATGATAGAAGACGTGGAGCTTAGATTAGTTTCCTGCTTTCACATCCGACAAGATGAACAAACTTCCCACGTGTGAAGAATTAAAAATAATGTCACCTTGCAGAGAGAGGTGCCAGATGTGATGAGAGGTGAAACAAAGTACTGAAGCTTTTCAATACTTGAAATAATTTTGAAATCTATTTTTAGAATATAGATCATAGGGGATCTAAGTGCTGTTGTACAGGACCTTGGATCCCAGTTATAGGGAGAAGCTGGAAATGAATTAAATCAAACACAAGGATAAAATCAAATCTGTGGATCCTGACAGTTGAAGTTTGACTTACCAGTCTAACAGGTGTTTGTCAGACAAAGGAACAAGACTGAGGGCAGATGTGAAACATTTCTATTTCTGTGGGTGTCAAAAATACTGCTTACCAAATTTGTGGTCAGGGTTATTTGAGGGTGTGCAGAAAGGTTTCACAAAAACATCAGGTATAATATATAACATGTCATCCCTCTCTCACTTGTCACTTGCATCTGTGTCCTCTGCACAGAATGAGAAGAAGGAACAAGTGAGTGACAGCCCGAAGCAGTCTCAGGAAACAACAATCCCAGGAGTTTCAAATCTCCCAAAAAAAACCCACTGATGATTGATGACACGACAAATGGAGAGAAATAAGAAAACTACTCTGCTGTTTCTTCTGGCTGCGCTTCAAGTCTGCAGCGTCATGACGGCTGATTGTCCCAACAACCCTGACACAAGTTAGTGATTTGTGATGGATTTATGTTGTTACTTTGTCTGGAATAATTGATTTTCCCTCTCACACGACACACTTGGCATTTCATTATTTCTCCACAGCACTCAACTGCTACACTGACTACGATAAAACCATCACTTGTGTGTGGAACAGTACTTATAAGTCCGAGCACACAAATGCTAGGTGCACACTGCACGCCAAAAAGATAAAGAAGAGGTAAGAATCAATCATAAAGAGAAAAACTACTCCAGACATGCAATGAGTGCAGTGAAATGAATTGAGTATTTTGATTTTCAGCATGTATCCCTACAGCGCTTCCTGTGTCCTGGATGCGGCTCATGTCTCCAGACCAGCACTGAGGAATTGCTCCCTGGACTTTGAACAACCATATATTGTAAGTTTAAAATACCGGTTTAGAAAAATCAATTAAATATCTGTGCAAATATGAGGAACATTTTAGCTTTAAACCTGTCTAACATGCAGTGACACAACATGTTTACATTTATACACCTCTAGTGTGTTTCAGAGGTATGTTTGTAAAAGTTCAGCAAAGTTAAAAAGCCTAGTGCTCCTAGTCCAGTCAGTACTTTGTATAATAGAATGCCTTTAATGTCATCACACAGTGAAGCGTGGCGAAATTACAGCAGCTACCAAGGAAAGGTGCATTTAGTAGAAAAATAAATAAAATATAACAATAAAATAAACATGTGCAAGAGGAGGTAGTTGTGGCTGATTTATTTTATTTTATTGAGTTCAGTCCACTCCTAACGGCTAGTTTTTTATGACACAAAACAAAGTCATGTAAAGTGAGATCAGAACATAAGGAAGGAAAGAGATGTGTTTTCTAAATTAGAGCATGTCAACCTTTTGTGTCATGACTCAAACTACAATACGAACATGTCTCCTTTAAAGCTTTTATTCAGCAGCTCTGATTCATTTACATCTTGATTTTCATCTTATCTTTTTCATTTTGTATTCATAATCTTTTGTTAAATGTTTTTCTCAGTTCCAGTCCTTCCACAAACTGTCCATAAACCTGAGTTGTGACTCTGCAAAGGATATTTTGTTAATTTCCTATAAGCCAGCCTGCCACAGTGAGTATGATGCATGAGTGTTTGTGACTAACCTTGTGAGCGAACCATGGCGACCAACAACTAACTGTTTGTGTGATCCCACAGTAAAGCTGAATCCTCCAGATCAACCGAGTGTCAACGTCACCACCGTCACCTTGCTTTCCAAACTGACGCATGAAAGGATAGCATCTTTCAAAACAGAGCTGCAGTGGAAAAGATGGGATCAGTCATGGAGTGTGTGTATACATTGTGTTGGATTTAATACAGTGTTGGGAGCTCTTGAGAGTGAATCTTAGATGATTTCTTACAGCGGACCTGGGGCTCAAAACAAAACGACATGCTGTGTTTTCTGAAGTATTGTTGCATCATGCAAAATGTTGCGTCTTGTGAAATGTGTTTTGTGAATTGTTGCTGTCTGTTGACCCTCGGGGGCCACCGTACTACTCACACATGGTCTGTAGAAGACATCAGTGAGACGTGATTCTCAGCCTGTTGAACGTCCACGTTTGTTTTTCTTCTTTGTCAGGATCCTGCTGTGCAGACAAAAGGAAAGATCTGTAAGCAGGTATGTGAGGTACAGCTGGACACAGATTTGCTCGTACTGGAAGAGAGGTACGAGGCACGTGTTCGAGTGCAGCCTGAAGCCTCGAACTGGGCCGAGTCGACGTGGAGTGACTGGAGCCGCACTGCATCATGGTCGTCACCTGTAGGAATCGCAAGACAACCATCACCACTACAATCAGGTAGATGTTGCCAAGTATAAATCAAATAAAGTGAAGTGAATGTTCCTCCACCTGAAGCCAAGTTCAGGAGTTAAATTATGCATTTGGAGATTTGTTTCATGTCATGAATTCCAGGGAAGGAAACCAGTTGTGTGAACATTAAATGTACAAACAGACGATTCTCTAACATCACATGTAAAATAAGCTTATTGTGTTTTTGTCTGTACACAACTAATGAGGGTTGCTGTGTTTGTCAGGTTTAAGTGGAGGCATACTGTTGATGATCATCGTCGGCGCAGCGCTGGCCTTGACTCTGGCCGTCATGCTCTTTAGGAACGAAAAAGCCACTTGGTGAGCAGACACAACCACACAAAGAAAAAATCTGTCCCAGGTTTTCGTCCTATACGAACATTCAGTTCTGTGTTTTCTGACAGCTACTATGTCTTTCTGTATTTTAGGGTTTACAGGAAGATCAGAGGTCCGGACCCGGGAAAATCCTTCCTTAAAGATCCAGATTTCCAGGTGAGCTTATGAAATCCTCTTCATCTTAGTGTTCAGCAGTTGTTTTAGTTTGTCGCAGAATATTCTAATAAAGATACACATTCAAGTCTTGTGTGAAACATAATTAAGCAACATAAGCTTATTGATCAGAACAAAAAGCTTATTAAACGGAGGAAATATATGGAGTTGCTTCCGACTTACACATGTAAGTCCAATGTTGGAAGTTTTGGTGGGAACGTATCACACTCGAGATCGAACATTTTTCTTCGGCGAGTCAGTAACAGCTCTGTCTGCCGTTATCCTTCGGTGGTTTTTTTCGGATAACTGCTGGAAAAATGGAGATGAATCTGAACCAAAGTTTGTCTCTATGTTTGCAAAGCAGGAACCAAATCAATCAGCTGAAAGACTTCCACATTATAATCTGATCTTTCGATTGGATAAACGTTTTGTACTGCTGACCTTCTATAGATGGAAAAACTCAACAGATATTAGAGAAGGCAGAGAACCAAACTGACGGATGTAAAACTTACGTGGGATGTGAAACCAGACAGAAAAAAAATGATCATGAGGCAAAACATGTGACCTTTACCACAAATTGCAGAAACAAGAACAGGAAGAAGACAAAAACACCATGAAGACTATTTGTCTTTTTACATGTGATTGTTGCAGGTGTACAACCTTAGTCAAGAAAATTTGACTTATTCTTTATTTTTAATCTTTTTGATGCCTCCTCTCACTTTCTCTCTTCCAGAATTGGTTGAGCCCTCACTTCACAAACGAGTTCTTTCTCTCCACGAAACTGGAGGATATCGCCTCTGTAGAAGTGGTCTCCACTGTGGACGCTGTCACACTGTGCAGCAAAGAGGCCCCTCTGCTGGAGAAGAGGAGTAATGAAAGCAGCTCCAGTTTTTTGAACCCCAGTTACTCCCACCTCTTTCCTCCAACTTGCTCCCTGCCCACCACGGCGAATCTGGAGCCCTGTGCCGGTGATGCACCTCGTGGTCACAGTCTGGGTGAAGGCAAAAATACAGAACAGGATAGAGAGGAAGAAAGAATGAAAGAACTGGAGATCCTACAGTTGCTTTCCAAAGGCAGCAACAGTGAGCCAGTGCCAGTCGTTTCTGACTATGAGAAGGTTGAGAAGCTGCAGGTCCAATGCATCAGGCTCCACACTCTAGATTCAGGGGTGGGCAGTGATGAAGAGGTGAGTGAGGAGAGAATGGAGGCAGATAACATCAGTGCGAATGAGAGCCAAGACAAAGGGCCGAAGAACCTGGAGGAGGAGAAAGACGGAGGGAATGGACAAATCGACTTTCAGAAACTGTTTGGAGGCAGTGGAAGTGTTTTTGGCAAAGGGTCAATTCAGATTTGTTCCGATTATAAGCCAGTCCAGATGCTTCAGCCTGAGAGCCCGGAGCTCCCTAGCCTGGATTCAGGGGTTAGCAGTGGGGGTGAGGAGCGGGTGAGTCACGAGGAGAGCCTGGAAGACGTCGACATTTCCAGCGAATCCACACACTTCCTGTTTCCTCCTCCTCTCGCTTCCAGTGCTTTGCAGCATTCCGGGCTTACTTCACCACAGCAGCTGCCGAAGTTCTCTGGTTTGAGATCAGCTCTTCGACCTCCAAGTCCAAGTCTTAGAGCAGGAGGGTTGGAACCCTCCGGTGACGGATATATGCCAGCGAGACAAGAGCCGTGTTGACTATATACAGAAAGCTTTTCACCCATTACATGAAATATCAAGCTGGCGTGATGCATGGTGACGGCTGACTAGCTCACGCAAGTGCTCAGCGGTTCGGACATTTGCAGATGAAGAACGTCGCAGGACATTTTCCAGTCCGACGCATTCATAACACAAAAGGAGCATTCGGGCGGGGGGGCAGCTGCACGAGTGTTTTTTGCAGGTGTGAAATCAGTAACGTGACATCATATCATAGATTTATGAAGTGAGCGATGTCTTTCAGTGAAGGGATGACTGTAATTACCATTTTATTCCAAAAGTTTGTTCTTTATAATCTTGTGAAAAATGTGCATTTGGTTATTTGTACAAATTTGCATCCGTTATATGAAAATGTTTTTTTATGATTTAATAAGAGACTGAGTGATTCATCGATTGGTTGATAAAAATATCGATGTCTGTCATGAACATGTCTGTTCTGTTTTTGCCAATATGCTGAAAATATGTTTTTTTGAATGTAAAATGTTTCTATTTTTGGTATTTTTTTATAAATATTTATAATAAAGTTTATGGTTTTCATCAAGCCTCAATTACATTTATTTATCATGAGTCAGATTGCCAATACATTCAGAGACACACACACCCTAACAGTCTGATAAAATGTACATCATATATTATTTCTAACTATAATGTATTATGTTATGGGTGGTTATAGAAAACATGGTTAATTAAATATACGGCTGGACCGAGGCCTTGAAGTCAGTGTATTCACTGCAGAGACTCTCAGCCTCAGAGGTTTCTCTCGGTGCAGCAGACTCACTATGTGGCCCCGTCTGGATTTCTTGTTTGCATGGAGAGTGAAATGAACTCTGGGAAACGGGTCGGGTATTAAAACATCAGTCCCATCAGACTTACCTGTGCAGGGGAGTTGACTGTTGCTAGGTGATGGTTAGTGACATCAGTGCACCTGCTGCCTACCTGCCTCAGATCTGCTCTACAACATTCACGGTGGTGCTTTGCTCCTCATCATAACCACGGGAGACACATGGGAAATTATTATTATTTTTTAAAAACACTTTCGGACCGATGGCCTCGTTCTCTGTCAGAGCGAAGTCTATGCTAACGCGAGATGCTGAATAACAGTTGTCAACTTGGAGACTCAGACCCGCGTGGACCGTGAGATGCGGAGTGATGCAATGGCGTTCAGGCACGGCTCTGTGAAGTCGTTTCCATTTAACCTGGAGGTCACAACTGTTTCTGTGAAGGATGGGGTGAGTGATGCTGATACATCTGCAGTACGAGCTTTATCACTCTGTACATTAAGATAACTGTGTGGTGAACGTTATGAGTCGTTAGAGCAAACTCAGCATTCTGCAGAATTCAGTGTGAGTGAGCTGGATGTGTTTTTGCTGTATATTAATTATAGACAGGCAGAATTCTCTGAACCATAGACTGAATGACAAATGAACCAAAACCAAAGGTGTTCTACGTAGAGTGAGTTTAAAGCTAAAACGTGTTAGCTACAGGGAAGAGAACATAACCCGTCCTTGTCACGTGTTCTTCTGCGGAGGTGTTTTCCATGATTTAAACTATTTCAGAATGTCTTTTATGATTCAGCAGGTGGGGACTTTTCTGGGTCTTCAATGAAGATAAATATAACCCTGGGAGAAAAACCTGTAGAGCCTGTCAACCCAGTGTCTAGATTTAACCCACTGGTAAACCATCCACTGGTGCCGTCTATGCCCTGATGTGCCCCCACTCAGAAACTGCATGAAACAAAACACTTGCGATTGGATTTCACGTTGGACTTTCAGAATTTGTGTCTCTTCTGTCTTCAGGTTGAAGCTGGTGCGCAAGCTGCGGCTCCACCCGTCAGGAAGACGCGATCCAAGTGTCTCATGGCCTTTGCCATCAAGCTCTTCATAATCCTCATTGTCGGAGGAGCCATACTGGCCTGGTACCTCCTGGGTGAGAACTTCTTTCTTGTCTTTTCTTTTCATTATTTATCTATTTTTAATTCATGCTTGAGACGTGACCGCATGAATAGCAGTGATATACTCACGTTTCTCTGCAACAGAGTACAAGGTTTGGATTTTGGAGCCTCGTGTCCAGCAGCAGTACGCAGCCTCCATTTCCATCCTCAATAGGAACTTCTCTGCTGATTTGTCCTCTCACAACAGCTCTGTGTTCAAGGAAGAGGCCGCGGGAGTAAAGACCATGGTGAGCAGAGACTTCCAGTTCCTGTGATGCTTGACTGTTTTTCTACTACTTTGAAGCATACTGAGGTAAGACAGATATAAATTTGAGAGGTTGATGGTGTTTTTTTTTTTTTTTGTCTTTCAGGTGGCGAAGATAATGAAAGGTTCAAGTCTTTCTCAATACTTCAACTACACCACTGTCTTCACCTTTGCGTACGTGGACATTCATTACTTATGCTGAAGATGTTTTATTTCTATTTGTTTTGTTTGTTAGTTTATAGGATAACGCAAAATACTACTGGACAGATTACCACTAACCTTGGAAGGATGCGACATTGGTCAGGGAAGAACCCATTGAAATGTGTTATTGGAAATTGGTCAACTCCCCAATAGTAGTATTGGCATCAGCCTCACTAGTCACAATCATTAAGTTTCCTAAACTAAAACAGATCATCAGGATCACCTACAGGAAATTAAATTTGTGTCTGCCCACATGTGCGACACGCTTGAACTTCCAGATCAATGCTAACGGGCGTCGGTGTTGGTTTCTGCTTTGTTTGTTGCAGTAATGGGAGTGTTGTGGCTCACGTCGGGATAGTGATGTCAGTGCCGAGCAGCCATGTTGGGAGGGTCACACTGAGGGAGGTCACTGCGAGTCTGGCGAACGGCCTGAGGGAGAATGGAGGGTCGGGGGAGGGACAGATGGTCAGTGTCGACGGATACCTCCTCCACCTTCCTTCACTGTCTGTCAGTGGTGAGAGAAATGGATGGGAGAGGGACAGTGCATGTTAGAAAATTAACAATCATCATTTTGGCATCAATTTCTTTTGTCTTCTCCCAACAGAACCTAAAGATTACAGAACTTTTATAGGCTTCCTTTGGTATCACGCTTCATTTTCTACCTCTTCTTTCTATTAAATGATCTGTTGTGATTGACCTGTAATCAGCATGCAGCTCAAAATATAAATTAAAAAACAAAAACTTTTCCCCCCATGTAATATCAGATTATTGATAAAAATTAACTGGAGAAGTAAAAAACACAGAACAAACCATCATTAGACATTAGATGCCATTGCCATAAAATCTTTAAAAAGGTTTTTAAAGGATGTTTTATATGTGTGGCTTTATCACAATGAGATTTAATTAAAGTTTCTAAATGTCAGCATGCTGGAGATAGCTGGAGTCATGTGATGTTAGCATCTTGGCTCCGACACAATGTTTGGGACATCATAGTTACACATACTTACCCAATGCTATGCTAACTCTTGGCCTTGGAGGTAGGCTAATGCTAGATTGTTGTTGTAGTCAGCCAGCCAGAAACACTGAGACAAACCACAATGGTTAGAATCCTGTGACAGCCGCACCTGCAGCCACAGTGACACCCACATGCTTTGACACTTCTGACGCAAATGTTCCACTGCTGGTCTCAAATGGCAAATGGTGTAACCCAGAAAACAGTGGATTTAAATACAGGAAGTGCCAATAAGGATGTACCTAATTGTGTCTGCCACAACACACAGCAGTTATTTAAAACAAAATTTTAAGGCCTAACTTCAATAATTAGTTATGTTTGCTTTGATTTTAATTGAAATGTATTTCAAGTTATAGACCAAATGCCCTATTCATTTTCTTTTGTTAATATTTCACTATCCCCCTGTGTGAAAGTGGGCTGATCACCCAGTGTATCCTCCCTTTAGTTAGTTAGCTAGTTTAGGAGATTGTGTTTTCATTGCCTGTGTTTATATCAGTTCATTTTACCTCTTTGGGGCCCATTGCTCGCTTTTGGAAAATTGAGTTTCCTAATAAATAAATAAAGTCCTTAATTTCAGAAGCATCTATGACGCAATACCTTTTAGCTCAGTTCCTTACACAGGCTTATGATTGTTACTGGCCCCACGAAATATTAGGTTTTATAGTTGTATAAGTATTTTGCCAGCTGCGCTAAAATCCATAGTTTAAACACGCAATTTACTCATTATCCTCGATATGCTTTCCCTGAGACTGTTACCACCACCAGAAGCTGTTGTCCAGAGGACCTGTGGTTCTCAGTGGCCCCGACACACAGCGTTCCACCTGCCTGTGGCACCTCCAGGCGGCCCCTGGCTCCCAGCTGGAGCTCCACATGGAGTTACTGCTGCCACAGTGCCAGGACCGTCTGGTGGTGTTCGATTCCCTCACCCCCACCGACACTCGCCTCATCACATCGTGAGTCTCTTTCACGAATGTAATGACCTGCTGTGACACATCAGTTCAATAGTGACCCTCTGTGTGACGATGATAGTTCACTGTATTATTTATCCTCTCAGTGTCGATGGCTGCAGTCGACAAGAGCGTGCGGTCCACGTCCTGTCTTCAGGTGAGTGGATGACGGTGGTTTGGAAACAGGGACTTTACAACAACAAAGACTCCTTCTCTTTGTCTGCACAGGCCTGGGACCGCCAAGGTAAGACCACCTAAACCACCACACCTTAACTAGTCCGAAAATAGTCCCACTAGAATGGTTACCCAGAGATTGTCGGCTAAGACGTTACGGATTAGATCTCTGCCTCGCCAAACACATTTACCTCTGTTGACCTGATCAGGTTGTATCAGGCCTGGATGCCATAGAAGTCAAGATGAACTTTAAATTGTGAATTAAAGTATTTCTCTGCTAGAGTGTAACTCCACTATAGAGCTGAGGGCAGTATCAGGCATCCAGGGGACACTGAGGACCCCCTTTTTCCCAAGCTACTACCCTCCAGACACCAACTGCACCTGGGTCTTTATGGTAAGACAGACCCTCATCCTTTTTCTCCTTGATTTAATGATTGTTGCAGTGATGCATGACTTTTACTTTGTGTGTGTTTGTTCCTAATTGTATTTTTTTATTTACTTTAGACGCCCAGTTTATGGATGGGCCTGACTCTGGAGTTCGAGGGCTACAAGTTGGACAGAGCTGGCAACAATCAAGCCTGTACCCAGGGACAGTGGATCGTCCAGAACCGCAGGTGAGCTCAGACATGGTGAGTCCTGCTGGTGTGTGGGAACTGTCCAAAGTCTTCGATTGGTCCAGTGTGTCCAATTATTGGAAAACTTCATCTATGGGGGTTTTACACTATGAACTGAGTACTTAAAATAAAAAAATAGACTGTAAATTTGGAGTACCACAATGAGAATGACTCAAAAGGTCTGTAAACTACAAACTAAGCTAAAATAGGTTTTTTTTATGTCAAACTGGAGGCAGCAATAAAAAGACAAAATACCAAAGAAATGTATTTATACATCTGTCTGTGGTTTGAGGTGTGACGGGAAACATGTTTCCATATAGGTCATGATGTGCAGACCTTTCAGATGGTGTCATTAACAGCTGCTTCACAGTCATAAACACACAGAAACAGAAGACTACTCATCAGAACACCAGTGCAAGAAGGCCCTTAATTAAAAACACAAAGAATAAATGGAATTAAACATGTAAATGTGTTGTGCTCAGACTGTGCGGTACCAGGATTCTGCAGCCATACAGCGAACGACTCCACCTGCTGTCCACGGTGGTAACTGTCGTCATGACGTCCCAGGTGTCGCTCACAGGGCCGGGCCTTCAGCTGCACTACAGCGTCTTCAACCTGTCAGATCGTAAGCTGGAGAGACACAGACAAGACATTTAGATGAGAGAGAGACGATTCGACTTTGCTTCACTTGTGTTAATATCATTTAATTGCGTGTCTGTGTGTGTTGTGTAGCTTGCCCAGGCCAGTTTCTGTGCACCGTTAATGGCCTGTGTGTTCCTGCCTGTGATGGAATCAAGGACTGTCCCAATGGACTTGATGAGAGGAACTGTGGTATTTCTTTAATGCTCATTTACACACAATGTATTTTCCCTTTTAACAGGAGATTGAGACACAGGAAGGACAACAACAGATGCGTTGGAGCTCAAAGCTGAGAGTAAAGTCCAAAGCATTTACATGTTTGAGCAATTTACAGCCAAATGAACACTGATATTATAACACAACTTTCAGATTGGATGGGACACACTGGGAAACAACAGCATTGGGTATTCAGGGGTGAAATAAACCACAAGCCTCTTGTGACAGATGAGCCAGTTTTATATAACAGAACGAGCTGACGGCAGAAACATTTGAAACATGAGCCTCGTCGATGTGCCGCTGCGTATGAAAGCAAGCTGGCTTAAAGTCAGAGTGATGCTAATCTGATTTGATGGGGCTGTTTTTTCCCCTTAAATGTTTTTCTCCACTGTGATGTCAGATAGATACTCACAGCATAAAAACATGTGGTATTTGGCTGCTCATTAAACTACAATGCAATTATTAGTTCTGTTCTTTAAGTATTGATACAGCTGGGTCATGAAGTAGCCACAAAATACTATTAAAAGTGCATTATTTGCTTTGGTCAATTGTATTTAAATTGCATATATTCTCATATTGTGTGTGTGTGTGTGTGTGTGTGTGTGTGTGTGTGTGTGTGTCAGTGTGTGTGGCTCAGTACCAGTGTCCAGAGGATGACAGTCGATGTGTGGACTACACCAAGGTGTGTGACCAGCAGCCAGACTGCCCAGAAGCCACAGATGAGATGAATTGTACTAATGGTAACACACACACACGTAATAAATGCTTCTTTACATTCTGTTGTGTAGAATATTTACTGGTGGTCATGGGTAATGTGAAACAGGGACACACACAGAATATGTGCTACAGCTGCAGCAGCCGCACACACTAACCACACTGTCTGATGGTTTAACACCCATGATAAACATTTCACACCAAAATATATTAACAAACCAAACGATGAAGCAATAAACATGAACTGTGTAACACGTAAAATCCTACGGTGCATTTTCTGACAAACAAAATCAGTGACAACGGCAACAAAACATTAAATATAAATGTATCCGTGTGTGTGTGTGTGTGTCCAGGTGTACGGTGCACAGTTATGACCTATGTGTGCGCTGATGGAACGTGTCTGAATAAACCAAACCCAGAGTGCGACTCTGTTGTTGACTGCCCGGACGCCTCGGATGAAAAACAGTGTGGTCAGGAAACACACACACGCACGCACTTTGCAAATAAAGACAGCAAGTACATGCTAAATGTGTGTGTGTGTGTGTGTGTGTGTGTGTTCAGACTGCGGCCTGAGGCAGGTGTCCAGTCGTATTGTCGGGGGCACCAACGCCTCAGAGGGGGAGTGGCCCTGGCAGGCCAGCCTTCAGGTGAAGGGTAACCACATCTGTGGGGGGGCTCTTATCTCCAGCCAGTGGGTGGTGTCCGCAGCCCACTGTTTCTATGACGACCGGTATGTACAGGAAGAGAGAGAGGAGGAAGTGGTCTGATTACGGAGGTGCTGTAAAGTGCTTCATGAACAAACACAACCTGAGGCACTAATTCTCTTCATTATTATTATTATTTCTCTGTTTTCTTTGAAATCCCTTTATTTTCCGTGCTTTTGTTTGTGTCTGTGCTGTCCAGGCTTTAACTGTATCAGCCGGTCTGACTCAAAACCTGCATATTTCTGTATTTATATACACTTGTGTCTTCGAACAGCCAGAACCTTCCGAACTTATAGCTGCTACATCCTGTAGAGAATTAAAAACTGCTTGTTATTTGTCCTGTGATTAAAAGCTGGGATTATTAATTTGCATTTTCTGAATCTTAAAACTTCAGCGGGTGAGGAGACTTGTGTTTGTAAAATAAAATAAGTTGTAAAATTATTGAGATACTGAATTTTGAGATATTTTATTTGAATCGATAGGGAAAGAAGTAGTGTAAGATAAAGCTCCTGTAACACATGACAAGAGATTTTCTCCTCCTCCTCCTCCTCCTTAAGGCTCTACTCCGCCTCCATGTGGACAGTCTACCTGGGTAAACACCTCCTTAGTCCCAGCAGCCCCACAGAGGAGGTGGCGCGAGTTCAGGAGATCCATCGCCACCAATACTACAACAACAAGTCCAACGACTACGACCTAGCCCTCCTGAAGCTGGACCGACCCGCCTCCCCTCTGCAGGCTGGACCGGCCCGACCCGTCTGCCTGCCCCCACTGACCCACCAGCTGGAGCCGGGCCTGCTCTGCTGGGTCACCGGCTGGGGGGCTCTCAGCGAGGGGGGTGAGAAGGGAATGTGAGGGTGAAGTGTTGGTAGACGGTGGATTTTAGTATTAAAACAGCTAATAGTTGTGGTTAGTGCATATAAAGATGGACAACCTCATCTTTACTATCCAGAAAATATCCCAGATGCAAACACTCACATCTCTCACATTCGGAGCCAGAGTCTGTGCGTGATGTCCGAAGTGATCATGCTTAACCAATCACGAGTCATATTTGCATAATACACGCCTAGTTGTTACTATAGGAGCAGTTGACCAATCAGAGCAGACTGGACTTTATCGGGACAGGAGCTAAAACCAAGTGTTTCAGACGGAGGCTGAAAAGCAGAGCTGCAGTTTAAAGATTAAGTGATGTGTTTTCTTCTGGAAAGAGGTTTTGCTTGAAGTTGTCCAAAAGCTAATGATTACATCCTGATAAATTATATTTTCATGATCACCATAATAAATTCAGTAAACATTTCTTGCAAGGACTGCAAACCTTTAATCTTTAAAAATGTTTTCCAGAGGACAGAAGGTGAAGGAACGTATATGAATAGTTTTAAGACTGAACCTTGTAAAAAGACACTTTTGAAATAACTATGCAGCTTTATAAACATTAACGAGCTTAAAGTGGACTTTTATTTGGTGCACTTGACCTGTAGGTTGAATTTATGAGGAATCGTGTCCAAACACAGTATTTTTTGTTTTTCTATAAAGTCGTTTTATTCCTGTTACAGGATGAACATGAAACTTTTCTACTGACTTTCTGTGTTAAGCAATATAACGAATTGTTTTCACAGGAAGTTCTTATCTGACTGTGAAGTCAGTAGCACTGTGAAGGTGACGCTTAACGTTTACTGAGAATTGGTCAAACATTAGTGCATTTAATGAGTTCTATTAAAGTTGAGGGGTCACTGCAGTCGGACATATTTCACTGTCAGAGCAGTGTCAGCTCGGTAACTTGAGGGAGAAGATGAGATGAAGACTTCCGGCTTCATCTAGAAAATATAGTTTATGAATTGTCTTTACTAAAAAGAGGAAAAATCTTTACTCACTGACCTTTCGACCCTTGACCTCCTCCAGGCAAAGCCAGTAATGTGCTTCAGAAGGTGGATGTTCGTCTGGTGAGTGAGGAAGCCTGTGTTCGCTCCTACGGCAACCTGCTCACTCCCAGAATGCTTTGTGCTGGTTATAGTGGTGGAGAGAAAGATGCCTGTCAGGTAGGAACTCACACAACGATGGATTAAATTACTATGTGAAATAAAATCTGACACTAAGCAGTTCACAGAGAAGTTTATTCAGCATCTTAAGGTTTTCTCCTTTATTTTACGTCATTGTTGCTCCGGTTAAGTCTCATCGTTCCCCTCAGCTGCATTGTAAAAGCTTTAAAACTACGAGTCCATCATTTTCTGTCTGAAGCCGAATGAGCCAGAGAGAAAATTAGCCGAGCTCAACCCAAACCTGATGTTTTCTCTGATTACAGGCACATGCAATATAAAAAAATCAAGTAAATAGCTCCGCCAATGTGATCAAACCCAAATATAATTTCCAGATTTTTGGCCAAACACAACCCAACTTTGGTCCTGACAGACTTGAGTATGCAGACAGCTGAGCAGGAGAATAGAGCTGAACAGAGTGAATCTATATTTGTCGAGTGGACAGAAACACACCTCCACATGCTAACGTTGCTCTTCATCTGCTGGGGGTGTGAAACGGCAGCAGTTTGTCAGCACAGTCACCTCCACAGTGTGATCCCACTCTGTCAAAGTGTTGTTTAAAGGTTGCTGTGCTGCCCCCAAGTGTCCTACAAGCTGAATGCAGGCTGAAATCAAAGTATTTAATTGTGAACTACAAACAGCTTCTTAACATTCAGTAAGGTTCCTATAATATTTTAAATTTGACGTAAAAAACATTGAAAATGATATGTCGATAGAAAGATCCACTCTGGATGTGTTTAGTGTCCCTCTTTATCTAGATATGCAAGACGGCAGAACAAACTGATTAAATTAAAAATCTTAAAATCTTAAATCTCATGGGTTGAATAATTGCCTGTGTTATTTAGAATTAATTTAAGGAATTTATGATGTTCTCAGTCTGTTGACTAATTTCAATGATCTGGAGATAATGTGCAGATTGTTTTTTTTTTTTTTAGAAAAGGAGCGATGATGATATTTAAAGCCAGGCATCCATGCACCAACTGATTTAATGGCTCAGCTTTTAGTATTATGGTCATTATTGAATATAGAGCCATTCAAATCTCACTTCCTGACCCTCGTGTCTCTTGTCAGGGGGACTCCGGTGGTCCCTTGGTTTGTGAGGGGCCGTCAGGTCGCTGGTTCCTGGCCGGAGTGGTGAGCTGGGGCGTGGGCTGCGGGCGTCCAGGCTACTATGGCGTCTACACTCGTATCACCAGACTCACTGACTGGATCAGGAAGGTCATCAGCCCCCCCTGAGTCACTGAGGATCATTATCATCAGGACCCCAGTGCAAAATAAAACATTATACATGAGGATGAACTGTCAGATGATTTGAGAGCTCAGGCAAGTGTTAGAGTCATCAAGTGATGATGTAAATAATGTTCATTTTAGAACTGTATCAATCTATTTATCTATCTATCTATCTATCTATCCATCCATCCATCCATCCATCCATCTATCTATCTATCTATCCATCTATCTATCCATCCATCCATCTACTCTATCTATCCATCCATCCATCCATCCATCCATCCATCTATCTATCCATCCATCCATCTCCTGTCCTCCCCTCTCCTCTCTGGAAATGAGCCCAGTCCCCTGGAGATGTGTCAATATTTGGAAGTTCCCATTATTTTCAGTGTAATTACTATTTTATTAAGCTGTAAACCATAACGACACTCGTGCCCTGTGAAGCGTATCATCACTGCTCAAACTGGCCCCTGGGGGCCACGGAGACCATCCGTCATCCCAGTTGTCTCCACAGTAATTGTTCAGTGTTTGAAATGACCTTCAGTTTTCAGTTGGGAAAGAAAGTGACTGTATGAACAGCAATATTCTGACTTTTGACCTGATTCCGGAAGAAATTTTACACTGATTATGATGTTTACACGAGCTCGTAGAATATTCGATTATTATTCCTGTTTATGTTACAGAGCATCGTCTCATTATAACTCATGTCAACATTACATCATACTACTTGTTTACTGATGAACCCCGGCATCATCGAGCAGCTGGAATCAGTCGTGTGTCTTTATTGTAAAAAAAAAAAGACAGTGCTGGCTTCTCCAGTGTTTCCACAACACAAACCTCAGTAGTTGTACTTACTTCAGCCAGTACTACTACACACCTCTCTTCAGCTTCCCCTGGAGTTTCCACAACATGTACAACGAGGCAACTGTACTCGCCAATCGGCCTCCTCTCCTCCGGGGGACGGGTGAATACTGCTCGGATGATCTGTGTTTATTTGCATTAATCGCATGTAACGTGGTTTATTCCAGGAATTACCTTATTGACGTGAAGGCATGCATGGTAATCACAGTATATGTCTCTCTCAGAATCAGATCCACGGTGCTCAGTGAAGGACTTAAAATTCAGACACCTCCTCCAGAAACCAGCATCAACTATCAGTACATGAATCTCAAAGCTTGAGGGCTCTCCCTATCAACCCAGGTGGGACTTGAACCCACAATCCCCAGCTCCGGAGGCTGATGCCTTATCCATTAGGCCACTGGGTTGACACTTTTCTTCAATTATATGTCAGAAATCCACAGTGGTACAGTACTGCCCTACTCGGATGTTTGTGAACGCTGACCCTAACCCAGTCCCCTGAGATGAGCGAACATTGCTTTCATCTATGGCTCATCGTCTATTGTTGATGCTTCTTTTAGAGAAAAACATATCACACACACATCCTGAATATTCTCCGTCGCAATGAAAACTTCTCATGTTTCTCAAACCACTAAAAATAAGATGCTTTTTAAAAAAATGATGTGTCTCTATCAACTGTGTGAGATCACAATCATTTCTCTGGGAGGTAAAAGGAAACTGTGTTTGTTTTCCTGCATCACGAGGAGAGCAGCAGACAGAAGATGTCTGCGGACGTTGATTGAATTACGTCTGCAGGCCCTTCAATCTGTTATTCTTCAGACAGCTAATCAGCTACGCTTTCAGACGATTTGGCAGCTCATCCATATAACGAACAAATCAGCCGAGACATCAGTCAGTATATTTATCAGGAACATGAGTGTGGTCCAAAGTAGAAGAGTGATTATCAAAGAAGAGCCAGAGGGAAGAGGCCGGCGGTGTGGGACATTGATTAAATGATGGACATCGGCCATTTTACTGCTCCTTTGTTTGGCTTTGCCTGTAAAACAAAAGACGGAGCAGACCTATTTCCAGCACAACACAGTAATACAGTATGTGCCATCTTTACTCAAATCTTATTTACATTCATGAACAAACATGCTACACTGGAACATCATCATCCACATGGAGATCTATTTTTAGAAAGGTAGAGCCTTTCCAGAGCCATATTTCCCCAAACACTGTTTGTTTGCGTGAGTGAAACAAGTTAAAATCAAATAACAACAAAACTCATACGCTGGAGGGACTTTTGCTTTGAATGTCACAGTATTTCATTGTTTTGTTCACATGAATATCTAAAGTTAGAGTCTAGTAGCTCATACATCGAGCCACAATGAGCTAAACTAAGGATAAATTCTTTAAAAAGGAATTCAAATCTCCATCTGTTGTTTTTCATATTTTTACCTCCACCAATAAAAGTTATGTTTCATTGCTGTTTGTCTGTTTGTCAGTAAGATTACTCAAAAACTGCAGAACTAGTTTTGCTGAAATTCAGTGGATGGGTGGGACACAGGCCGAAAAAGAACTTTTGGACCGGGTTTGATTAAAGGGGTGGATCCAGGAGTTTTGGATTGTGAGATAGGGAATTAGCCATAGCCGAGGTACAGAATACAACCTTCTTCTTATGACTGGGAAGTAAAATAAAAGCTGAGGAAACCCTGGAACCTTTGAATGACCAGAATCTGCTTCTCTTCCATTTTCAACTGGCAGAACTAGACAGAGGAGTGGTTGCCAGGTGAAGCTGAAGGTTGATGAATGGGGGGAAAATAAAAAGATGATGACTTCTCTTGGCTGCAGATGCTCTGTTTTTCTCTGGTCAGTCATCTGGTGGCTGGTTGCAGCTTCGGTCTGGTGTCAAAGCTCCTCTCTTTGTCACATGCTTGATACTGTGCAGATGATTTGGGGTTTGGGTTAGAGGGTCCGGGCTGCCACACTACATAGGTTCTCAGGTCAATGCTGATGGATGGAGAGCAGATGTGTCAGAGCACCATTGATTCTGGGATGTGGTACAGGGGTGGAAGAGGTCAGACAGGTGCTGTGTGGTTAGGTCATGGAGGCTTTTAAAGGTGAGGAGGAGGATTTTGTAAATAATGTTCGATGAAACTGGAGCTACGACCTTTTATGAGACAACAACAGTCTGTGACGTAACCTGAAGCCAGCCATATTAAATGAAAATGACAAAAAAGCTCTCAAACACCTTTGCTGTGTCTCAATTCCGGGGCTGCGTCCCTTGGAGACTGCATTTCAACACTGATGTCACAGCTTCACGACCAGGTCGTCCCATTTTGACAGCTCGAGGGATCCGAGGGGTGGATCCTTCATGGGTCAACCAGTCCCAGCAATCAGTGCGAACTGGGGACCAATAACAGATTGCTATCTGGGTGGCTCAAAAGTAAACAACAATACAAGTGAGTGAGACAATTAGAAAACCTTCTCCAGACCAGACTGTCTCATCTCTCTTAACAAGCCTTTCACATCTTCTTACAACGTAGTTAGAGCGGGTCTTGACGAAGAACCTAGACGAGATTTGTCTTTCGTATTTTGAATGAACTGGCCAACATTGTCAATGTAAACATGAAACACAGAAGCAACCAGATGTTTTGCTGGAGTCGCCTGCACAGAGCTCTCGACAAACAGGGCTCAGCACATCATCTTGGTTCATTCTATGTGTGAAATTGGCTGTCGGATGTGGGTGCAGTTCAGAAAATGAGACCTTTTGTCTAATATCAAACTGCTGATTTGAAAACAATCCATCCACTTCATAGCGGTGCAAAATGATTGTTTGAATGTGTCAGCATGAATCATCAGCCAACGGCTGAACCTCTGCACCGAGAGCAAAAACCGCTCATAAGAAAGAAACGATTCAAGGTTTAAGGCCAAGTAAAACGCCCTGAGATGAAATTAAAGTATTCAGCGGTTCCAAACAGCCTCTCTGACCTCAAAGCCTCCACTAGGTCTCATTCACTGGAACATATTTCACATTGCTGAACAGGCGTATCACACTCTTCACAGCTGCTCAAACTACACAAACACACTTAAGTGCTAATCTGTTGTTTTAGTGAATGTTTTGAATGAATAAAAATAGACAATAAAATAATACAACACATAAAGAAAAAGCTCGGTGAAACAGAGAATACGTTGACCTTGACTTGGCCGACATCACGTCTTCATAAACAGTGTCAAACAGTAAAAATACATTCTGCTCCGTCTTTGCATTAACACTGCAGCTATGGCCTTTAAGGATGTCTGAGTGTGTGTGTGTGTGTGTGTGTGCGTGTGTGTGTGTGTGTGTGGTAATAACTGTCCACAGCAACATGAAATCCACTTAATCTCCATCCAGTAGTTTACTTGCTCTCCCCGGAGCTGCTAGATTAAAACATCTTCACTGCACTCGCTGAACCGTGGAGACTGGCCTTGCAGTGTAAGCAGTGTCCTCGTGCGCAATGAGATTTACAAACCAATTCTTCACAGTTTGGGAACAACTGAGTACACACCATGCATGTGGGCTCAGATGTGTCGTATTTATCTTCATAACTCAAAGACTCAAAGACACATGCGCTTGAAGTGAAGCCACAAGCAAAGAGACAAAGTGGCACGAGTTGCATTCGTTCCTAAACTATTTGGAAATCGTTTTTAATTATCAAGTAACTTACTACCCTAAAAAATTGTAGAAACAAATAGGGTCTATAGCATGATCAGGCTCATGACTGGCTCAATAAAAAAGTTTGTAGTTTATATTTAAATACTTTATATTTACATCAGGAGCTGGTGCTCTCTACGGAAGCTGCCATGTTTTTTACAGTCGCACAGACTGGACAAACTAAACCGTTTGAGTTTTTATGACATCTGAAGCTACCACAGGTTCTCAGCTGCAACATCACACTTCACCACTAGATGTCCCTAAATTCTATTTTGAACTTCCCCTTTCCCCAAGCAATCGTGGTGCTCTGGCAACATTTAGGCTCCAGAACTGTTTTAAAAATATGGATTTAGCACAAGTATCAGACAAAACCCAAACAATACTCTTCAGGGGGACCTTACTGGGGCTGACAAACGATATCAGCAACAGTCAAGTGGAGTAGAACTGAATGAGAGCATACACAGCTACAGGG